TATATTGCTGTGGATTGGGACCCCACAGCCCTTCACCTTCGCTATCAAACGTCACAGGAAAGGGTAAGTACTTAGGGTCACCATAAGATGGTGGTTTTTGAATGGGAAAATTTCCCCAGTTTAACTATATTATGCCATTTCTGTCTTAAACAATTCAAATACAACCAGAATAACATTTATTGGCGTTCTCTATGGTACTTAATACATTGATGTGATTGGGTTTTTCCATTTTCCAGCTTCTACAGTTAATCGTATTGGGGCATTGTCTTAGTCCATTTTGCGCTGCTGTTACAGAGTACCTGAGGCTGGGTAATTTATAAAGAAAAGAGATTTATTTAGCTCACAGTTCTGCAGGCTGGGAAGTTCAAGGGCACGGCCCTGGCTTTTGGTGAGGGCTTCTGTGCTGCATCATAATATGGCAAAGAAGGTCAAAGGGGAAGCAGACACGTGTGAAGAGGGAGGACCAAACATGAAGAAGAACCTCGCTTTAAACAGTCTTACGGGAACTAAGTTCTCAGAGGGAGAACTACCTACCATAAGAACGACACCAAGACATTCATGAGTGATGTGCCCCCATGAGCCGAACACCTCCTACTAGGCCCCACCTTTCAACACTGCCAGCTTGGAGATCTGATTTCAACATAAGTTTTGATGGGGACAAACAAACCATATCAAAACCATAACAGGCAATAAATTTCAAAAATATCGATAAGTAAATCTCAAGACAAAACTGGATGTAATTAAGAAGTAATATTGTCTGCCCATGGCATACCAGTAAACATCTGTCTGCCCAATTGTTAAATATTATTGAAGTTGCAGCATCTGATAACCACAATTACTTAGCTCAGATGTATCCCAGGGCTGTAGCTCCTACCTTCAATGATCAGAAAAAATAGAGAAAGGATGAAATGTTCATGATTGGTTACCTAAGAGTACATCTCAATGGCTGTTCTTCACACTTTGCGTTCTTCTGTTGCGACTCTCTGGCCAGAACAATTTTAAAATTTTGAAAATGTTACTCCAGAAAGAATCCTAACTCCATAGTTAAAAATGTTTGCCTCAGGCCGTTTTTAATCAGCTAAATATTGTTTGACAATATTAAGAATCTGATGGAGAGATAAAAGCAATAGAATCAAAGAAATTTCTTAAGTCACACAAGAATCGTAGTGGTTTTTGCATTTTTATGGCTCTTGATTGTTGGAAATTTTCTTCACTATTTCTTGAAGCATTCCCTTTGGATAAGTTAGTAATTGTAATTGACTCCTCTGTCTTTTTATGCTATTGAGGAATGGGGAAACTACCAATCTAGACCTAGTTCCCTATTTGAATGCCTAAATATTCCCCCACACATGGTGAGGCTCCTGGCAGCTCTTTCTAGCCAAGGATGAGTGTAATTTGTGAATACTTGCCATATGAAAGACCACTGGGCTTTAACTAAAGAAAGCCAAAATGAAGCTGATGTTCTAGATTGTGCTCATTGTAGCAAGGTGATTCAATAGCCTCAGTCATGCTTCCTTTGAAGAGGGAAAATTTTAGCAATCGATAGAAAGATACCTAAATCTTTGTCAGCACAAAATATGACAGGATATTATTCTGACAAGACACTCCTGTCAATGATGATAAATTATTTAGCTCTGTAAATCTCTTCTCCTTTTTAACAAGCCCAGTGTTCGATATGAAAAGCTCTGGAGGACATCCTGCTTACAGGAAGAAGGGCCTACGGGACCTGTTAAATTTCACCCTACTTCCACTTTCTGTGATGCGCTTAGGATTCCATGGAAACAAGGAGCTACTGAGATATCCTGCCTTGCAGGGGAGCGTAGCCTTAGGACTAATGTGGGCTCTTCCTACATTTGGTTTCTGCATGTGCTTAGAGAATCATGTAGACAAAGGAGATACCATGGTTCAAAATTGAGATTATTACCCATATACTTTATATTTTTCATTCCAGTGATTTCCCTTCTAGGAATTTATCCTCGGAAATAGGATGCTCTGCCATTACTGTGTAATTTGTAGGAAAATATTCATTGTAACATTTTTTTAGAACAGTAAAAAATTTAGAAATAACTTATGTTTGTCTCATGAGGAAAACATCATATATTCATTGGATAAAATATAATGCAGTCATTGAAAGTGATGTTTACTAGGAGTTTTTACTGACGTTTATGGAAAGATACTTACAATATCATGTTAAATTTTTTTAAAAGCAAGATACGAAATTGCATATACTAGAAAAAGTCTCTGCAATATTAAAAAAAATAATAATGTCTAGGAAAAGAGCAGAAGAAAATCTGCCAATATTTTGACATTGTTTGCCTTTGTATTAAGAATATAAAAAGTTTCCCTGCCATTTTATATTTTTCTGTTTTCCAAAATTTCTACATGAATATTATATTTGATAATCAGCAAAAAACAAATAGAGGAGCAATTTCCCTTCTTTGTATTTTCCCCCTGTTTGGACTTCACATTCCTCAATAGAAAATTAAACTAGATAACTTCTTGGGTCTTTCTCATTTTTAAATAATCTCATAATCTATGAAAGCTATTAGTTCATTTCCTATGTTTTATATTAAAGATGAGCTTTAAAACAACTTAGGATAAAAAGAAGAGGGTGCCTATAAGTAATTTAAACTATCTGAACAAAAATAGAGAATCTGAGCATGGATCCCAAGAGGTAAAGGAATCTTTATCATTTAGGGAAATTATATTGATAAATAGAAATTATTGTCAGTTCAGAAATATATTTTTTTATCAGCCTTTCTTCCTCCTTGTCTCCATCTAGTTCTGTAGCCTGTGTTCCACATAAAATACAGTCAATAAGGCCAGACACAGTGGCTCACACCTATAATCCTGGCACTTTGGGAGGCTGAGGCAAGAGGATCGCTTGAGGCCAGGAGTTCAAAACCAGCCTGAATGACATAGCAAGACCTCATCTCTACAAAAACCAGAAAAGTTATCTGGGCATGGTGGCATGTGCTTATAGTCCTAGCTACTAAGGAGGTTGGAGCAGGAGGAGCTCTTGAGCCGAAGGAGTTTGAGGCTACAGTGAGCTATGATCATGCCATTGCACACCAGCCTGGGCCACAGAGCAAGACCCTGTGTCCAAAAAAAAAAAGGTTTATATATATATATATATGTATATATCAATCAATAAATAAATAAATAAATGGTCTTTGCTATCTTACTGTAATTTGTGATTGGCCATAAAACATCCCTGGTAAAGAGATTATTTAACTGACTACGAGAAAAGAAACACTGCTGTATTTGATATACTTCTTTTTCTACTCATTCCATCAAACATGATACAGTATGTTTCCTTTTGAAGCATGTCAGTTTTTTCCTTGGGTGTCCAGCTCAAGAGATGATGAGAGTTAGTATCTTGATATTACAGAATTTGTGCTCAGAAAAGAAGTCAGTGACCTAAGGTCAAGCCAGATTTCCTTTTCTTTTAAAAAAATTTTTTTCCTCTAAGATCCCCTTTTTAAATGAGTTCTTTAGACTGGATGGTGGTGCAATGCCAAAACCTTAATTGCATGATCAACACCAACCTTGATAGTTTGGGGCATTTGACAGCCTTGTGACTCAGCCATCTTCTCCTGTAGGGAAAACATCTCACCTGAAAATCTGTTCTAAAGTGAATGTCCTGAGCTGTGCCAGTTTGTTGTGATCCAGGCAACGCAGTGTTCCCACCATGAGTTTCAGGAAGGGAAACATAGGGGTAATTGCCTCAGGCAAAGAGGACCAGTTCACCTCTGGAAGGGAGGAGCAATAAATGGGGTGAGGGACATATGTGTCTGGGCTCTGCCCTGGGACATGAATATCTGTTGTGTGAAGTCTCATGCCAACATACAGTCCTCATTCTGTGCCTCACCCACCTTCCCACCATAATAGAGACAAACAGAAGGGTCCCAGCTCTGTGGTTCTTGATTGCTTGTCAGGTGGCAGCTAGGAATGGGAAAAATTCTTCCTTTTCTGTTGCATTCTAGGTCCTTCCTTCTCTCCACGCTCCCCATCCCACACCACCCCCAGCACACATCTCTGTACCCCTACCCCTCCTTTGTCCTCTCTCCTTTCTTACATTTACTTCCTTCTTGCTCTAAAGCCTAGCATGCTGGTTAACAGGACCCCAAAGGTTTGGGTGGGTATTTCTCAACAAAAGCAACATGCTCTTTGGAGCTTGTATTCTTTTGTTGCCATCTCAGATAAAAACGGCCAATGAAGCAGGAGACCAATAATAATACACATGGTATCCTGATAACTGTGTGACATGGTGTTGATATGCAAATGAGTTGTATCCTGTAGAGTTGAATGCGCTGGTGTGTTGTCTTCTCATGATGAGCTTTTCTGTGCCCTTTCTTACTTTATCTAGCTCTGCATCTGTGTTTCAGTGATACTATTTCCCTTAGCCTCTGTAAAGTCTGCAACATACTAATAATGCTCTATCTGTCCAGTTAAAAATAAACAGCATACTCTCAGCATCCCTGGCTTGAGGGCCAGCTCACATGTAAACCATTTTAGGATTCCAAAATTGTGAAATAAACAAGCAATTCCTTGTTTGTTTGTTTTTGTCATTTTGAAGCATTCAGAAATTTTTCAAGAATAGCTATAGTCATGTATATAGAAATTTTATCCAGAATGTTACTGTTGTGATATTTGTGAATAAATGTATAGATGCTGTATTTGTTCAAAGAGTCCAGTTTGGGTTGTGTTTTCTTTTTCCTCATGTAGAATAAGATGATGGTGAGTGACGGGGAGGATGATGCATAGCTAGATAACCACTTTAAATGCCCTCCCACAACCCCCATTCCTCCTGTCCCCTCTACCTGCAGGTCGTAGATGAGCATGAGAGTGTGGAACAGAGTCGGCGAGCGCAAGCTGAACCCATCAACCTGGACAGTTGTCTCCGTGCTTTCACCAGTGAGGAGGAGCTGGGGGAAAATGAGATGTACTACTGCTCCAAGTGTAAGACCCACTGCTTGGCAACCAAGAAGCTGGATCTCTGGAGGCTTCCACCCATCCTGGTATGTTACAGCCCTGCCTCTGAGAGGGCAGGAGTCTAGCATAAAGGAAAGAAGCCATGAACAAACAGGAGTTTTTGTTATTTTTGAGAGTAAGACCCTTCCTGCAGCAATGTTTTAAAACACTTTTTCTATACGAGGCTTTTATGTTGAGTTGCAGAGATGAATTGTTCTACAAATATTTGGTAGTTCCTGTATCTAAAAGCTTGTAGCCTAGAAGGAGCGGGAAGTCATGTAGATCAGTAACTGCAGTTCAACCTGATGAATCTCAACTTAAGGAGAGGGTGAAGCACTCATGGCCCTATGGAGAGAGGAAGTTTTAGGCTATAGCCCTTGGTAGCTACAGAAGGGCAACTGGGCTGGGAGCTTCCACTGCCCACTGCGCTCTGTCCCGTGGCCACGCTCGCTGGGGAGTTACGTGTGCTGCACAGCACTCCAGTGCACGGGGGCTTACGTGTTCTTGTTACTTCTGCCTTCTCCCTTTATGAATTCAGAGGCTCTCCTATTACTTGTCAGGAGAGTTTGCAGTGACAAATCTTCCTATTCATTTAAGATCAGTGTAACTGTAAGGTGCTAGTATATTTTACCTAGACATTGTATGTATTTTCTTATTTGTATCTTTATCCTAGTACTATGTGAAAACTGAATGTAGGTTTTTCTGTCCTTAGACCAGAACAGCTTCCCAGGGAATGATACACAGGAAATTAATAACATCGACTAGCTAGTTCCATGGATGGGAATGGTGGGGGGGAGGGAAGAAGAGGAAAGGGGCAGGCTTGGGGACAAGGTAGATGGGGAGGAGGGGGGAAACTTTTTTTTAATTCAAGTATAATTAACATACAATTAAATGGGCAGATTTTTAAATGTCCAATTTGATGAATTTTGACAATAGTGTACTCATATAACCATGACATAAAACATATTATGAACTAGAGGCCTTTATAAAAGCCATATTTTTATTGGCTGGACATGGTGGTGCACGACTGTGATCCCAGCTACTTGGGAGACTGAGGAAGGAGGATCCCTGGAGCCCAGGATTTTGAGGTTGCAGCGAGCTACGATCATGCCACTGACACTAATCCAGACAACACAGTGAAATTCTGTCTTCAAAACAAAAACATATTTTTGAGGTCTTTAAAGAATAATGAATAACATCTGTACCCCCATAATATGCTGAAATAAAAAAAAAAGAATAATGAAGAATAAATGTTATATATTCCCAAACATTGGACATTTTTTAATGTAAATTTTGTATCTTTAGAACCCTTAATGCAGATGTTTTCTACGTTCTCTTGTCCAGATTATTCACCTTAAACGATTCCAATTTGTAAATGGTCGATGGATAAAGTCACAGAAAATTGTTAAATTTCCTCGGGAAAGTTTTGACCCTAGTGCTTTTTTGGTACCAAGAGACCCGGCTCTCTGCCAGCGTAAACCACTCACACCCCAGGGGGACGACCTCTCTGAGCCAAGGGTTCTGGCAGGAGAGGTGAAGAAAGTGGATTCTCAGAGCTCAGCTGGGGAAGACGATGTGCTCCTGAGCAAGAGCCCGTCCTCGCTCAGTGCAAACGTCATCAGTAGCCCGAAAGGTGAGGAGGCCGGGGAGGCCTGGTGGAGGGGCTCTCCTGGGACTCTGTAGGCTGCATATTTCCGTCTCTCTTTTGTTCTGGAGCATCAGCGTGGTAGAGTGGAAAGTACCTATCTGGAATCAGACCTATCTATATTTGAGCTGTGGGACTTTTAACAAGAGATGCAGCCTCCCTAAATCTCATCTGTAAAATGGAGATACCAAGTTTACAGAGTGTGAGGATCTGATATATTAAGAATGAAACACTTTACATAAGGCGTGGTATATATAGTGAACATGAATGGTAGTTGTCATCTTTGTTCTCTTACAGCAGAGGCTCTCAAAGTCTAGTCTGGGAGCCCTTGGGGGTCCTTGAGACCCTTTCAAGAGGTCTGGAGGATCAAAACTATTTTCATAAAAATACTAAAACAATATGGGCCTTTTCACTTTTATTCTCTAACAAAAGTACCATGGAGTCAGAGACAACATGACATGGGATGATGTCATCACTTTAAATTCCTCAGTTTTAATTTCTGATGTGAGAAATATTGATAGATATAATCCGCATAGAAGTTCTAGGGGTCTTCAATTTTTAAGGGTATAAAAGGGGGTGGGGTGGGTGGTCTATGTCCAGAACGTTTAGGACCCATTGCCTTGCAGGGCTTTTGTGAGAAGTCGAGATACTGGAGAGTTCCCAGTACCCTGCCTAGTCATAGTAAATACTTAATAAATGGTGGCCATATTTTTTTTGTCTGATTTGACAAAGAAGAAGCACATGTATTTGTAAAATTCCTTAGTCTAATAATTACACTGTTTTGAACTGAATCTGGTGTAAACCACCTTTCTGCCATTTTCTAAGCCCCTACGATATACTTTACGTTTTCAGGACATTGTTGCCTATGGAGACTCACCATTGAAGAAGACAAAAATGTAACTCATTGGCTACATAATAGAACTAAAGAGTAGCAAGTCAAGACTCCCCATCCTTACCTTGATGTGTACGTTTGTGAAGCTGGCTTCAAAGTTAGCCTTTGGTGGCTGGCTTAAAATGTGGCATTTGGATTTATGCATCTTTCCTTCTCTCCCTTTCACAGGTTCACCTTCTTCAACAAGGAAAAGTGGAACCAGCTGTCCCTCCAGCAAAAACAGCAGCCCTAACAGCAGCCCACGGACTTTGGGGAGGAGCAAAGGGAGGCTCCGGCTTCCCCAGATTGGCAGCAAAAATAAACTGTCAAATAGTAAGGAGAACTTGGATGCCAGCAAAGAGAATGGGGCTGGGCAGGTCTGTGAGCTGGCTGATGCCTGGAGCCGAGGGCATTTGCTGGGGGGCAGCCAACCTGAGCTGGTCACCCCTCAGGACCACGAGGTAGCTTTGGCCAATGGATTCCTCTATGAGCATGAGGCATGTGGCAATGGCTATAGCAATGGTCAGCTTGGAAACCACAGTGAAGAAGACAGCACTGATGACCAAAGAGAAGATACGCGTATTAAGCCTATTTATAATCTATATGCAATATCGGTAAGTAGTTTATTATATGGTTTCAGATGAGATCGACCACGTTCATGGTGGTATGGCCGTAGACTCTTGTGTGGTTTTCAGAGTGGTCTGCACTTTTCGGTCGTTTTTTTGACTTGTTTATTAATCAACAAGCAATTCTTTCAGGTCCTGCTTATTTGCTAGGCATTGAACTTGGTGATAGACAAAGTTAACAGAGAAACCTTGGCCTTCTGGATAGGTTACAAGCAACTCACAGTGTGATTTTGGGGGGTAGGGGTAGTCATGTAATAATAATAAATGAAGTCACACGTTCAAGTCATTCATAACTGTGTGTTCCTAAGGAAGTTTTGCTTTCTAAAAAAGTAATTAAAACTATAAAATGGTTGTTTATCCACACAAGATTCAGAGCTTATGACTTTTGAATTTTGCATTTTGTTTGTTTTTAGAAAAAATTAGAGAATTCCAAAACATTTTTTCTTAACCACTGCATAATCAGTGTTCTCCTGCTCAGATCCTGGTGCTATGCCCTGGCCACAACACAGTTAACTACTAACATACCTCTACTCTCTTCTCTTTGTACAGTGCCATTCAGGAATTCTAGGTGGGGGCCATTACGTCACTTATGCCAAAAACCCAAACTGCAAGTGGTACTGTTACAATGACAGCAGTTGTAAGGTAAACATTCTCAATCTTTGAATAAAAGTTAGAACAGAATGCCAACAGATCTGGGGAACATTTGTTGAAATAATGGACTATCTCCTGAATAGGAAATAAATGTTTCTGTTAGGATGAGTATATAGATGCTGTTAGTATTAAGGGAACAAAAGTGAGATATGGAGTGGCGAATGAAAACATGAATAGGGAGGAAAAAGAAGATATTAGTTAATAAGAAAAAGTTCTTATTTTTTGGATGATTAGAATTTGATGGAGTTTTAGATCATTCTTTTGACTTTGGTCAAAATATTTTCCTCAAAACAAATATTGAGGCCAGACATGGTGGCTGTATCCTAGCAATCTGGGAGGCTGAGGTAGGAGGATTGCCTGAGCTCAGGAGTTCAAGACCAGCCTGAGCGAGAGCAAGACCCCGTCTTTACTAAAAATAGAAAAATTAGCCAGGCATCATGGCACGTACCTATAGTCCAGAATCTCAGCTACTCAGTAGGCTGAGGCAGGAGGATCACTTGATTCCAGGAGTTTGTGGTTGCTGTAAGCTAGGCTGATGCCACTGCACTCTACCCAGAGCGACAGAGTGAGACTCTGTCTCAAAAAATAAATAAATAAATAAATTGGAAACAATGGGGCTCTTTTAGGGGCAGGTGTGAGACAATCAAAATAGTAAGCTTATTAGAAGCAGTTCGGTTTAGTAATTAGAGAGCGTTGGTCTTCCCTTCCCTGGCAAGGATTAAGAGCTAGAATAGTGATGTTTTTTGTTAAAGGCTTTTCTTGCCCCTTCAGGAACTTCACCCTGATGAAATTGACACCGACTCTGCCTACATTCTTTTCTATGAGCAGCAGGGGATAGACTATGCACGATTTCTGCCAAAGATCGATGGCAAAAAGATGGCAGACACAAGCAGCATGGATGAAGACTTTGAGTCTGATTACAAAAAGTACTGTGTGTTGCAGTAAAGCTACCACTCTCGCTGCTAGACAGCCTGGTGGTGAGGGAGATGACTCCTTGTAGCTGACATTTGGCAAAAGCATCAGTGAAAGGCAAGCTAAATGTAGTTATTTTATCCTGTGACCCTGAAGCACAAAATAAAAATCCTAATTAAAATAGCAGTTAACTTTAAGAGTAGTAATAATTTTGTTTGGAAGTCTCATACAAGCTCTCCAGTAGAGAACTTTCAGGCAGATCCCACCATTGGCCTGTAAACAAAAGGGTTTGGCACCAGCCACCTGGGACCAAATGAGAATTAAATTGTGCTTGTCCAGCTATGAACAAACATGTAGTGAGTATGGAGTTTACCAGTAATCGTAACAAAATACTAAGAATTTCCTTGGAGTGAAAGTAAAAAACAAAAAAATTGTACTGTTGTCCAGGGACGACATGATATGCTACCTCCTTTTTCCTGAAGTTTTATTCCATTATATTGACAAGATGGAGAAAGCAAGATCATGAAGATGTGCAAATGATTCTTACGGCATGGACGCAGATTTTTTTATTTATTTTTTTAAACCATTTCCCTACTCTTTATATGTCTTTCTTGCTTTTTGTTTTTGTTGTGTTTGTGTTGGAGACACAACCAGTCATTGGTGGCAGAGGCATATAGTGGTCAGTCTGAAATGGAGAGTCTCTCAAGAGCTATGTGCCTTCTAACCAGGGCCTTGGTTGGTATACCCAGTAGAAAGAAAAAGCATCCTGGGAAATCCAGCTAACATGGCCCTCCTGATAGAGGCATCTTACCTTTAGGATACTTTAAGTATCCTCTAAAATGTACACCCCATACTGCTGAATGTGGCATGGTAGTTGCCAATAATTGTACCATCTTCATATGCACATGTTGCACAAAGAGCTTCTGGGAAGGTAATCAGCATCAAAGCTAGATAGTGTTTCACAATTAGTGGTTGTTTTTTTTTTCTGTGTTTTTTTTGCACTTTAAAAAAGAGAGAAATAAACTTGTTTGTATTTGATGGCTCTAAGGGCTATAAAATAACTTGATTGGGGTATTTTCCCTCATCATATTAAATTTGAAAACAAAACACATCCCAAACTTTAATAGTTCGTAAGTATTTTTAATGGAATTGATGGTTTTCGGAAGTAAAGTTATGTTCGCATGTCCATTAGTTTTTTATTTTGATATTTGTCCTTTTTTAAAATTTTATAGTAGTCATAAAAAGTTATGTTTCTTTGCTTCATTTTTTTCTCCAATTATTCAAGACTGGAACAAAAGTATAAATGTTATTTATTTCAGGTAGCATTTTTTTCCCGTATTTTTTAACATATGTTTGAAAGAAATGTTTCACCTTATTTTTGGTCTTTGTTGATTCATTTAGACGCTACAAGTTGACTGTCATTAATTGTCAGACTTCATTACCCTTTCTTCATCATAGGTGGTAATTACCGATGTAATTAAGCATTTATGTTCTGATATCTGAGGCCAGTAACTATCTCGTTTTTCTCAGAGCATTTGGAAAGGTGTCTAAGATGGCTAAATTCTTTTCAGAAGAAGAATATAATTGCAAGTAGGAAGGAGTGGCCTAAATTATATAATGTAATAAAGTCAGACAAAAGGCATACTTCATATAATAGTTTCAAGATTTTCAGTATATAAAATCTGTCCACTCCTACCTAGACATGTCTCATTAAAAAATGGAAGATTTTAAATAATTTCCTTACAGATGTTTTATTTAAGCAGGTAGCACAATCTACTAATGTTGTTTGATGTGTGTTTGTTATATTGGTTGTAATTAATTTTTTTAATTCATGAACTAGCAGAAAATTTATTAAATTAACTATTAACTACATTCACCTTGTAAATTACTGTATAAAACTTGTCGACAATGCACTGACTTTAGAAAGATGTTAATGTACATAAATAGAGTGTAAATAAAATAGTGTTGTACTGAAATATAACTGTACAAAAAGTATTGGTAATTGTATATGGAGTGTACCTGTTTATCTGTAACTATTATCCAAACAAATTAAATACTGTGGATGCCTCTTTGTGCTGTTTTTCCTCATACAAGTAAACTCAAAAAGTCAAATTCTTCAGCCTTTCTCTCTGTGATCTTGTTTTAATTCACCTACTCAAGTAAAGGCTATCTGACTTACAGAGGGGAGGCTTCATCTCGGAGGGAATGGAAATTGTGTTGAGGATAGAACAAGACACCTGCAGTGACTCACATCCTCTTAGAAAATTATTCACAGGGTGGGTGGGAAGGAGAAGGGTAGCGAGCAGGCGGTGAGCTCAGAATTGGTGGGGGAGGTCCTACAATAATTTTCATGGCAGATTGGGAGATAAGGTGAAGAGAAGGAAAACTTCTCGTTTGTATAATGCCTTAAAATGACCCTGGGTTTCTAGGGTGCACTGTGAAACAGAGATGTTCTTGCTTGTCTCTCTGGGAGGTCTGCAAGGAGGCAGTTGGCAAAGTTGAGAAGAGATGAAGATTTTGCAGCTATAGGTCCTTCACCCACAGCCCCTGTTTGTTTACCTATAAAATTAGAATACCCAGCACTCAGGCTCGTAAGAAGTCAACGAAGTACATAAATGCCTGGCACAGTTTCTTGGTAAGTGCTCAAATGAGTACGACATCCTATCCCCGTGATACTCAATTGTGTCTCACAAAGAGGTGGTTTTTTAAACCCCCTTGCTATACTGACACTAACAGTTTAATAGGTCTCTGTTCACATTCTCCAGAAACAGGAATTCACATTAAAAATGTATAAAATGAAACATGTTGCATCGGCTATAGTGGCAGTGGCAGCTTGTTTTTTTTTTTTTTTGAGACAGAGTCTCACTCTGTTGCCCGGGCTAGAGTGCCGTCATCCTAGCTCACAGCAACCTCAAACTCCTGGGCTCAAGCGATCCTCCTGCCTCAGCCTGTAGCTGGGACTACAGGCACACGCCACCATGCCCGGCTAATTTTTTCTATATATTTTTAGCTGTCCAATTAATTTCTTTCTATTTTTGGTAGAGACGGGGTCTCGCTCTTGCTCAGGGTGGTTTCGAACTCCTGAGCTCAAACAATCCGCCCGCCTCGGCCTCCCAGAGAGCTAGGATTACAGGCGTGAGCCACCGCGCCCGGCCTAGCAGCTTGTTTAAGGGAAGGAACAAACAGAAAAACTTGAAGCACAGCTCCTAAAGTGCCAGTCCGTGTTTTTATTAATATCTTTTTAAAAGGCAGTCTTGGAATGACCAGCTTATGGAGATGGGCAAGCAGTTTGTTTCTAGTTCTTGAATGGCCTTCTAAGATAAGAGGTTTTCAGCCTCCCAGCCTCTCTGGCTGATGGCGATTCCACACGGAGTCTCTCCACCACTTGGTGGCATTGCTCACTGTGGATTCTTTCTTACCTGCAGACACCATCGAATTGGAGCAAGTAGATGATTTACCACGTTTTCCCCAGCTGTCTTGAAGGTTGAATGGAGAATTTTACTGGGATAAGCCAGAATCTGTAACTTTGGGAGCAGGGACCCCAGTTTTTCTTAGTATTGAAATCACAAAAAGTCAGAAATGCACACACCTCTATGATGAGAGACTCAACAAAAAGAGGACTTTGAGGCTTCCTGACCAAGGGGAAGCAAGGTAGTAGATGTAAGAATGCAGCAGTCACAAACTCAGGCCTATAGTGGCCAGGTTGGGAATAGAATGTGAGTGTGTCCCACCACGGATGAGAATGGGGAGCGATGGGGTCTATAGTGGGTTCTAGGCACATGGCGTCTGAAGGCTCCATCTGATTGTTGCCATGCAGGAATGTAGGCCCTGATGTTAACCAAATCTTTTTTCCCCCTAAAGAGAAGCCAGAAATCCAGATATGAATACAAAATATCCAATTTATAAATGATCATTTTTAAAAATCTTAAACATTATACTGCCCAAATAAAAATTTATGTGCAAGCCAAGTACAAGCTACCAGTTCATGCCCTCTGGTAAGTATTAATAGAAAGGTCATGGACTTTGAGCCCATTATGTCAGAAGTCAGCTTCTAGCACTGCTGTTCTAACAGCTGTGAACTAAAGTTCCTCAGACCCTCAGATTTCTCATGCCCAGTGAAAATACTTTATTTCCAAAGGTTATTAAAAAGAATAGATCATGTATGTAAGTAGCCACAGAGCTTGGCATCTATTGGGTACTCAAAAGTATTCTTCCCTCGCTTAGGGAAACAGCACAGCTACAATACAACCATAATGTTATGCTCAGGTTTACCAGTCAAAAGGCATATAGCTAAACAACATGTGAGTGAGCACCTACTGTGTACAGAGCTCTGTGCTAGGTTCTCTAGGGGCAGCGGTTCCCAACCTGGCAATTCATCACCATCATCAGAATCAACTTACAGCTTGTTCAATGTGCTGATTCCAGAGTTCCAGTCACATTACACCTATATTCTGTGCCTACTTATACTCAGATTTATGAGCTCATCCTCTCCCATGCAGTCCAAGAATCTGCATTTTAATAAGTTCCTCAGAGGGGATTCTTTCATTGGTCTGAAGATTGGTCATTTATGGAAACCACTGCTCCGGGGAATGAGTCATTTCCAGTCTAATTAGGGAAAGATGATATGCATATGCACATGTGTCAGGAGGAGTGGTAGTAATTAACCAAAAGCTCCCTAGACATAATTGTCTCTGATGAAGTGCTGACTGAGGACACCGGATAGGCTGTTGATGAAGTACTTAAGGAAAACTAAGTGGAAAAGGGGAGTGAAGAACACCTCAAAGTGAGAACGGGATTATATTGGCACAGGTGTGGAGAGCAGTCTAGGCAGACAGCCAGGGAGCAGAAGCAGGATTCAGGCAGTGCATTCCAGGGGCGGTGGAGGCCTGTTTGTGCTGAGTTAAAAGTGCACGAGGAGCATAGTGGGAGATAACAAGAAGGCCGAAACCGTGTTCTGAAAGCCTTTGAAGATCAGACCAGTTATAATAAAAGTGTTTTCACATTGTCAAGTATTTTGGTATGGTTGCAAAACATTTTCATATAGTTTGCATAGGTATGTATGAATCTATTTTAGACCATTTTATTATAAACGTGTTTTATTTGTTGTCATTTTAACTTTCTCTTTTTCGTACAATCCACTTTTGCTAGAATTTCTCTTGGTAATGAACTTTAGAGGAACTCATAGATGGTTACTAGG